CGCCTTCGGATTTCAGTGTTACACTTTCCGTCCTCTGTTAAAACACTTACCAGATATTTAAATTTTTGTACTTATTTGATTTTGGCATCCCCAATTTGTAATTTGTATGTTGGGCTGTCCCTTTTGCTTCTTATAACTGATGTTTTTCTCGCTTTCCTTCACTATATACCTTCTTTTTTTTAAGCATTACGCCCCGAACAAGGCGTGAAGCCACTAGGATGCAGGGGGTTGCAGAAGATTTGGAGCAAGAGCAGATAGGAGTGGTAAAAGAAAGGATGAGGAGAGAGATAGTGGACAGATCAAGGTAACTGGAGATGTCGATTGATATTACATTTGAATAGTTGGAGATTATAGCTCTCAGGGAAACAGTAAGGGTGTTCCACAGGCGAGAGGTGCGAGGTATGAAGCTATTGGAGTAGAAGAGACGGCTACATTTAAAAGTTTCTACAGTGTAAGGGTGGGAGCGGGATGCCAGCCTCGTAGGGTGCTTGAATTCATGGAGTCTGGGAACCAGTGAAAGCAGCTCATCGGGGCAATTACCATGAAAGTATTTGTAGAAATGACAGAGAGAGGCGACGGCACGTCTGTCAGAGAGTGACTGTAGACGAGACGCCAGATCAGGGCCAATTATATTACATATCTGTACATCCATTCATACACGCACATGCACATCATGTAGGAGTATTTGTAACGTTTTTTTTTTTTTTTTCTGTGTCTGCTATCAACACTGTGTCATCTGCATAAATTATGTTGTTAAGATTGTGGCCACCAATAATAAATACTGGTAGGACATCTAATTCTCTCAGAATCGACTCAGTGTATAAGTTGAATAAGTCCGGTGAGAAAAGGCATCCTTGTCTTCTGTCCATATACACTACACAATTTTTTTAATTGTCAAAACTGTATTACACTTTCGGAATTTAAACAGCAATTACTGGCGAATATATGGCTTTTTAATGGTATTATCCTCCATGGAGTTAAATTCTGAAATGTTCTATAAGCGATATGCGATTGGATATAAGAAATTATAAACTAATTCTAAACGCAATTTTCTACTATTCGACTTTAACAGTGTTATGGGATCTTACCCATAATAATAATAATGGACTATCCCATACTTAATAAATACTGCGCCTCAGGAGTAGGCAGAGAGTGAGTAGTTCAAGTCGTTCATTTTGAACAGACTGCTCGGTTTAACTCTCTGTCTCCGGACAGAGAGGAACCCGAAGGAGGCTACGCCGATGGGCGGAGTCTCCTTCGGGGAGGTAAAATCGGCCCCGAACCCGTTTATACGGGTTCAAATGGGCATATTTTTTTTAGCCGAGCCCACGGGCTCGGGAATCCCACAATAAAAACCGACCTTGTGTCACATGGTTCCCCCAGTGGGGAGACTCAATATCGTGAGTCAGTTCAAGTCGTTCATTTTGAACAGACTGCTCGGTTTAACTCTCTGTCTCCGGACGGAGAGGAACCCGAAGGAGGCTACGCCGAAGGGCGAAGTCTCCTTCGGGGGTGGTAAACGACCCTGAACCCCGTTGATGCGGGTTCAAACGGGCATATTTTTAAAGGAGCCCACGGGCTCGGGAATCCCAATAAAAAAAACCGACCTTGTGTCACATGGTTCCCCAGTGGGGGAGACTCAATATCGTGAGTAGTTCAAGTCGTTCATTTTGAACAGACTGCTCGGTTTAACTCTCTGTCTCCGGACGGAACCTGAGGAACCCGAAGGAGGCTACGCCGAAGGGCGGAGTCTCCTTCGGGGAGGTAAAACTCGACCCCGAACCCGTTTATACGGGTTCAAACGGAACAGACATATTTTTGTCTCCGGACAGGCCGAGCCCACGGGCCTGGGAATCCCCTAATAAAAAACCGACCTTGTGTCACATGGTTCCCCCGACCTTGTGGGGGAGACTCAATATCGTGAGTAGTTCAAGCCGTTCATTTTGAACAGACTGCTCGGTTTAACTCTCTGTCTCCGGACGGAGAGGAACCCGAAGGAGGCTACGCCGAAGGGCGGAGTCTCCTTCGGGAGGTAAAAGGATCAACCCTGAACCCGTTGATGCGGGTTCAAACGGGCATATTTTTGGGCCGAGCCCACGGGCTCGGGAATCCCACAATAAAAAACCGACCTTGTGTCACATGGTTCCCCAGTGGGGGGGAGACTCAATATCGTGAGTAGTTCAAGTCGTTCATTTTTGAACAGACTGCTCGGTTTAACTCTCTGTCTCCGGACGGAGGAACCTGAAGGAGGCTACGCCGAAGGGCGGAGTCTCCTTCAGGGAGGTAAAACGGCCCTGAACCCGTTTATACGGGTTCAAACGGGCATATTTTGGGCCGAGCCCACGGGCTCAGGAATCCCACAATAAAAACCGACCTTGTGTCACATGGTTCCCCAGTGGGGGGAGACTCAATATCGTGAGTAGTTCAAGTCGTTCATTTTTTGAACAGACTGCTCGGTTTAACTCTCTGTCTCCGGACGGAGAGGAACCCGAAGGAGGCT